GTGTCATTTTTGACGCCTGCATTCAACGGCATTCCAAACTAAACACCCACTGAGAGTCGTTGTCACGTGACCGGCCGATGCCAGGGCTATCTCTGTCCGCCAGTTTTAAAAAAACAAAAACATTATGTACTTCTGACAAAAATAAAAACAGAGAAGCCCTGGGAACAAGGTTCACCTAATTGCAAAACATGTGCAAACAAAGGAGTATCAGCTAACAGTTATCTTGTTAATATTAGTTACCAGCTAAATAAACCCGAAATTCTCAGTTAACCGTTAATATTTTAGCCATTTCTCAGTTAACAGTTAACCCCATTCAGACCCTGTTATGATGTTCAGGCGTGGTGTGAAAAAACGTCGACCTTGATTCAAGCGAAGTTGCTAGTAAAACATTTAGGCAACAAATATTAAAGATAAATGATGTTTTAAAAAAAGGGTTTTCCCACAGAAGGCTAGCTTTCTCAACAGACTATACTACAGCAAATACACTACAATACAGCAAATACACTACACTACAGCAAATACACTACAYTAMMGCAAATACACTACAYTACMGCAAATACACTACACTACAGCAAATACACTACACTACAGCAAATGCACTACACTACAGCAAATACACTACACTACAGCAAATGCACTACACTACAGCAAATACACTACACTACAGCAAATACACTACATTACAACAAACACACTACACTACAGCAAATACACTACACTACAGCAAATGTACAACACTACAGCAAATACACTACACTACAGCAANCTATTCCTCTAAGAACCATCACGTCTAAAGCAGTCATCAGTGCGTTAACCAAGTTCTTCACAACATTTGGCCTGCCTAAAGAGATTCAACATGATCAGGGAACTAACTTCATGTCACGTGTATTCCAAGAAGCTATGAGTGAGCTCGGAATCAAGCAATTTTACTCGAGTGCATACCACCCAGAATCGCAGGGAGCCCTGGAACGTTTTCACCAGACCCTTAAGAATATGATAAAGACCTACACCTTTGAGAATCAAAGAGATTGGGACGAAGCGGTACCATTTTTGCTGTTTGGAGTGCGAGAAGTTGTCCAAGAGTCCCTTGGATTCAGTCCGTTCGAATTGGTATTTGGACATGAGGTTCGTGGTCCTCTTAAGATGTTTAAAGAAAGTTTGCTTAACCCCAGCGCAGAGATGAATCTTCTCAACTTTGTTTCTACTTACAAAGACCGCCTACGTAAAGCCTGTAATTACGCCAAAAAGAACCTTGAATCGTCACAAATCAGCATGAAAACGTGGTATGACCGCAAATCCAGACAACGCGTCTTTAAACCTGGTGACAAAGTTCTTGTGTTGCTACCTGTTGCAAATCATTCACTAAATGCAAGGTATCATGGTCCCTACACTATTGCCAAAAAGGTCAGTGACACGGATTATATAATCAACACTCCTGATCGACGTAAGAACACTAGACTTTGTCATATTAATATGTTAAAACGTTTCTTTGAAAATGAAAGAGAGGAAACAGTTTTATCTAGTTGTTTGCAGGAAGAAGGCATAGAAGAGGAAAGATTGGAGTGTGAAGATATCGCAACAAGCCCACGACTGCCGAACTCGCAAATTTTAGACAATCTGCAAGATAAACTTTCTCATTTACCGGAAGAACATTGTGGTGAGTTAGCAAAACTTATCCTAGACAATAAGCAGCTGTTTTCTGATGTCCCAGGTAGAGCTGATGGTGTCTATCACGACATCGAGGTAGGAGATGCAACACCTGTTAAGCAAGCACCGTACCGACTTAATCCTGTAAAAATGGAACAAATGAACAAAGAAGTTGAATACATGTTACGGAATGATATTATTGAGCCTAGTCAAAGCAGCTGGAGCAGTCCATGTATTTTAGTACCAAAACCTGATCGTTCCTTTCGTTTTTGTACAGACTTCAGGAAAGTTAATGAATTGACCAGAACTGATTCGTTTCCAATACCTTATATTGAAACCTGCATTGATCAAATAGGTCAGGCTACTAACATTTCTAAGATTGATTTATTAAAAGGTTACTGGCAGATACCGCTGACCGAAAGAGCAAAAGAAATCTCCGCTTTTGTTACGCCAAGAGGATTCTTCCAGTACAAAGTAATGCCATTTGGTCTCAAGAATGCGCCTGCTACATTTCAGAGATTAATGAATAATGTAATAGGAGGTATATCCAACTGTGATGCATACATTGATGATATAGTTCTCTATCATTATAATTGGCAGGATCATGTGAAAGGGCTGGAGGACGTCTTCAGAAGTTTAACATCCGCTAATTTAACAGTCAACCTGGCRAAGTCTGATTTTGGAAGAGCAACTATCACGTACTTAGGACACKAAGTTGGACAGGGTAAAGTAAGGCCGGTACAAGCCAAAGTCGAAGCTATAGTCCAGTTTCCAGTCCCCACGACTCGACAACAACTCTTGCGTTTCCTTGGAATGGCTGGATACTACAGAAAGTTTTGCAGAAACTTTACAGAGATCGTATTGCCACTCATCGAGCTAACTCGTCAAAAGGTAACATTTGTGTGGACTGCCCAATGCCAGAAGGCGTTTGATGAAGTTAAAGCAATTCTGATAAATCCGCCAGTACTAGTTGCACCAAACTTCAAACATCCTTTCAAGCTTATGGTAGACGCGAGTGATGCCGGTTGTGGAGGAGTACTATTGCAAGACGATGACAGTGGAATTGACCACCCCGTCAGCTATTTCTCCAAGAAGTTCAARCCTGCACAGAGAAACTACTCAACAATCGAAAAAGAATGTTTAGCCTTGCTGATGGCTTTGCARCACTTTGAGGTCTACGTTGGTTGCTCTGAAGCAGTTATTGAGGTCTACACTGATCACAATCCATTGACTTTTATATAAGATGAGGAACCAGAACCAACGTTTGCTGAGATGGTCTTTGGTACTACAAGAGTACGATCTCGTGATAAAGCACATCAAAGGAAAGGACAATGTCATAGCCGACTCGCTGTCTAGAGTGTCRATTTAAAGAGCAAGAGCTGATGTATATAATTATGAAAGAATGATCTATAGTAGAGTTTAATAAAGTAAAAAATTGTGAACAAAAGAAAAAAAGAAAAAAAAGTACAAGTTATATTAGTTTGATATATAGAATGAAGAACATTACACAGTACAGTGGCACGAGAAGAACACATGAGAGACATTATACTTTATATTGGATACGAAAACATTTTTTTCTTTAGTCTTTTTTCCCGATGCCTTTTCTTATACGGGGAGGAATGTTACAATAGTACTAATCGTTGTTAAGTAAACATGTATTGTTTTGTGTATGTATATAAAACCTGAATCGTGTAATTAAAGTCAGTTGATATCCTTCGTCTTGGCTGGACATTTGAACGTAACATTAATGTTTTTGAAAAATTGAATATCTTGCTGCATTTCATCGATTAAAATTATCAACKTAYGTCGCCGTTATYAAATATTCCGGCGTCAAATATAACTGTTTGTATGGCGCCTTCATAAAACGACTGAACTATCAAGGGAATTTCTAAATAATAATAATAATAATGAAAACTTGTATAGCGCATATATACAAGTCTGTTCTAAATGATTAATTGAAAGTGGAATTGTCACATTTTAAAAAAGCTTTTTATAATTACTMCTGAAAATTGTTTATTTTCCTATTGTTYTTTTTAAAGAATGTGCTTGCCAAACAATAGAAAATTAGAATTGTCAAAGGAATTGCAAGATATTATGCATTCATAGTTAGCAAAAATTAAGTCAGTTGGCTTCCATTTCTCCCTCGAAGAGATGTCGAGTCGATTTAGGAGACCTAAAACTGGACATAAAGGGAAGCGCTATTGTTCGGGGGAGTGTTCCACAAAGTGTTCAACAAAATGGTCCGCAACCTTATTTTGCGACCGGCAAAAAGACCGTGCGATGAAGAA